ACATGTGTTTGTGTGTGGGCATGCATTTCTGTGTGTGTGCACATTGTACTCCCAACAATAATTCCTGTTATCAGAAAAGTCAGCATGTCGTCTAATGACTTAAAAGGTGACAGTCGTGTGATAGAGAAGGCGTGAAGACTAGATTCTTTGACTCTCAGACCCCCTGGACAGGTACAGTGACCTGCTTGTCACCCTCTCAGATGAACACCTGTGCCTGCACCAAGCGGGGCCACCCAGGACAGAATCCACAGGTCATTTTAGGGGATCTAGGAAGAACAATTGGAATTTAACCTCATCCTTCTTATGTGTGTGTGTGAATCTGATGAAATCCAGATTCTTACCCCTAAATCAGATCTTCCTAAGCATCTTCCTTGTGGGACGGCTCTGACCTGAAGATACACTTGGCAAATTCAACTTCCTTTAATTAGTCGTTCCCACAACTCAGGTTTCAGTCCTGAGTAATGACACCTCTTTCCTCCCTCCACTGGTCATGTTTTCTCAGTTAAGGCCCACCTCCCCAACCCCCTTTTAAACAGAGCTTTTTACTTTTCCGTGCTCTTTTCTAATTCTCATTCAATTCCTCTCTCTCGGATAAGCACAGATGACCTTGTTTCTGCTCTCTCGAAGCTTAAGAGAGCCACTTCTCCATTTAAAGGGCTCTCCATCTCAGTCTCCGTCCACCGCTCTGTGTCTTCTTGTTCATCTCTTCCTGTCCTTACCCTCTAGCAAATGCCTGGAGAGTCACACAGTGTGAGTCACCTAGACATTAATAAGTTATTCTTAGTGAAGGCAGATGACATCACTAACCCACTGTCTGGAGGACATGCGCCCTTGATCAGTTCTCTCCACAGTAGAAACAAGTGGGTAACATAGCCTCCCCTGGTCCCCGCTCTGCTTCTAAGGATGATTTCAAGAACTTTATTTTTATTTTGTATTTAATCACTTTACAGCCTGATGCCAGCCCCCTCCCCCTCTCCTCCCAGTCCCACCTCATATCCCTCTCCCCCACTCCTCTCTCTTCTTCTCAATGAAGGAGGGAGCCTTAGGAGGTACCAACCCACCATGGCACCTCAAGTCATAGCTGGACTAAGTGCATCCTCTTCCACTGAGGTCAGACACGCAGTGCATCTTGGGAAAAATGATCCAGTGGTAAGCAACAGAGTCAGAGACAGCCCCTACTCCCATTATTAGAGGACACACATGATGACCAGGCTGCACACCTGTTACATATGTGTAGGAGGTCTAGGTCCGGTCCACACAAGCTCTTTGGTTGGTGGTTCAGTCTCTGTGAGCCCCCACGGGCCCAGGTTAGTTGACTTTGTAGGTCCTTTTTGTGGTATCCTTGACCCCTCCAGCTCCCTCAATTTTTCCTCTCATTCTTCTTCAAAACTCACCTGCCTTGGCTTATTGCTTGGTTGTGCGTTTCTGCATTTGTCTCCATCAGCTGCTGGATGAAGTCTCTCAGAAGACAGTTAGGCTAGTCTCCTGTCTACAAGCATAGCAGAGTATCATTAATAGTGCCAAGGGCTGGCTCTCTCCCATGAGGAGGGTCTTAAGTTGGGTAAGTCAATGGTTTGCCATTCTCTCAATCTCTGCTCCATCTTTATCCCTACATTTCTTGTAGACAAGACAAATTTTGGGTCGAAGGTTTTATGGGTGGGTTAGTGTCCCCCTCTCTCCACTGAAAATACCACCTGGCCACAGGAGGTGGCAGCTTCAGGTTCCATACCCCACTGTTAGGAATCTCACTAAGGTCAGAGACTTCCAGGCGTTTTCCCTGTACTATAGATGTCGCCACCTATTTCTGCTCTCTCTCCAGGTCTTCTCCAGCCCCTTGCTTACCCAGCTCCTTCCCTCTATCTACCTCAGATGTCTATTTTATTTTCTCTTTTGAGTGAGATTCAGGGATCCTCCCTTAGGTCCTCCTTGGCTTCTTGGGGTCCTTAGGTTAACTAGTATGTTTATCCTGTACATTACGGCTAATGGCCACTTATAAGTGAGTGGATACCATGTGTGTCTCTCTGGGTCTGGGTTACCTCACTCAGGATGATCTTTCCTAGTTCCATCCATTTTCCTGCAAATTGCATGATGTCTACTTACTTCAAGGACCTTCTAAACTAAGGCTTGAAATGCAGATAGAAGACTTATCTTGAACCAGAGGAAGTCAGCATTACCAATTCATGAGACTTTGATGCAGGCAAAGAAGAATCCTAAGAGGCCAGTGCTCAAAACTAGATGTGACCGGAACATTTTAACCAAGAGCATCCTGGTTAAGGTCAGTTATTTTTTTATTGTGATCTGAAGAAATATGTTGGGTGGCCTTCCAGTGCTTCATGCTGTTGCCAGTCAGCGAATATGTAGTAGGTGTGTTACGTCACCTCTAATCCTTTCAGCCATCATTAAGAGATGGACTAACCCGGAAAAGGCACAGAGCTAGTGCATGCGAAAGCCTGGGCTGGGACACATTTTTCTTTCCATTGCAGCGGGATGCCACGTGTGTCACATATGTTCCAGCTTCCATTGCTCTCTTCTTGGACATGGGAAACATGAGCCTCAGATGGGTAGCAAAGGAAAAACCCAGCAGCAGCTAAGAGGGCGGAGGGGATCCCCTCAGGAGGACCCTCTCTTTCACAGCCACTTTCACACTAAGATGCTGGGAACACCATGACTGGTGCCTGTCCTCCGAGTTTCATGAACAGTTTATAACACACTGCCCTACCGTGGGGAGGAAGCAGCATTCAGTGTTTTCATACCTTTGCAGGGTACTTGCCTGCTCTATTACTTTGATCACCCGGTGCAGGAAATAGCATAGGGTGTGTTAGGCACGGCCAGCTCTCTTTTGTCATGCCTAGACAATGTTCTGAATTTTTTATTGGGGCTGAGTGTGCCAACCTTGCCCTGTGACATTGAGTGAGGGTTGCTAAATATCATCTGTCTTGCAACATCAGGTGTTGTTTTCTGCATGTGTTCCTTGTCTGCCTAGATTATAAGCAGGGTAGACACGGTCTGTGTGTTCGTGATGACAGTGACATCTGCAGAGACAATAATGAAGAAGTTAACTTTAGCTGCTTGTGATATATGCTGTGTCACTTGCAGAAACTAGGGGAATTCTACCGACAACAGAGTCTCTTCCATATATGACTCCAGCATCCTAATAGATAAAATTGAAAGAACAAGATAAATGAGTGCCTTCCAAATGTTGGCTGCTTCTTCCGCCTTGAAAATTGAAAAGAATTCTCAATCCTATAAACATTTGCGGCGTGCTCACTACATCTGTTTTGTTCTATGAGAACGATAGATGTATCAAAACCTTCACTCTAGTTCACGACACGGACAACCCAGAAAAACAGCTCCAAAATTAATTAAGCGGGAAGTGGGGCAGCAGAAGCATGAGCAAGGTGTAATGGGGACAGAGAAGAAACTGGAATGATCTGGAATGGAGACCGGGTGGGGCCACAGGCAGGCTGGCCCTGCCCAGAAAGAAGGGACTTCTGAACATGAAGAGCGGCAAAGATGTCTACGCTTTCAGAATCAAAATTATCGATCGCTGTCAGCATGGCTGCATGCACGCTATGTACCAAACATCACTCAAGGTGCTCACTAGACATGGCTCTATTTAAACGTTCAGCTACAATGTCAGGGCTAGATATTACTCTATCTATTTCGTACGTCAAGAAGTAAGGCTCCAGCTAAGTATGGTGGCACGCGCTTGATAATTTCTGCACCCAGGAGACTGAGATAAGGGGATCCGATGTTCAAAGCCAACTTGGGCTACGTAGCAAGATCCTGTCTTGCCTGTGTTAGAAAAATAAAAAGAAATAAGGTTCTTTGAAGGAAAGGTGGCTTAGCTAGGTGCCGGGTTGTTTGAGGGATCTCATGTGACACTGTATGTCCCCTCATCACTGTCCATCCTCACATCACTTCTGTGATATGCTCATGGCCACGGATGCCACATGTATGAAGGAACATTAAGTACGCCATTGAATTTTGTTCTTTACTTACAACATATTTTCATTGCATTCTAATAAAAGAATTAGCTCATCTCTGGTCATAACATAATAATATAAATAATTCATCAGTATTATTAAATTTTCTAGTATGTATGAACCTTTGCTATCTGACATGCTATTTCTAATGTATCTAAGTATTAATGCCATAGTGCAAAGCCATTACTCTGACTGTTTTCTGCTTAGAGAGGTAAAGACGTTACCATAAAACCAGATTATAGATAATAAACTGATCTATCTTAAGTACTTTATGGGATTTGAGGGGATAAAGGACAATCTTTACTTTAAGCCCGTTTTACTTGTCAGATGTAACCTTTGCTTTGTCTCCAGATGCTTCACTGACACTTTTTTTTTTTTTAAAGAAAGTCCCTAATCTACCTCCCTCTAGTGCTACTCACACCAGGTTCTGCTGTGGGGAGGACTGTGAGGGTCCCGAAGCTCTCTGTGGTATACGGAAAAATGGTCATCTCCACAGAGTAGCTGCCGGGCTGAGTTAGGGCACATTTCAGTGCTTAACATGCCAGTACAGTCAAAGGTCAGCCTTCCAAATGAGTGTTGGTTGGCAGGAAGAAAAGACATTCGGAAGAAAATGCTCTCTCCCTTTGACCCTCAGCTCTCACCCAAGACCGAATCAGAATAAACAGCCAAGAGCCTCAAGAGTTTGGTAAGCTGTAAAAAGAAATAAAGAGAGGAAGCCATCTGAGGAAGCAGCCTTTCCCTCCTGTGCCTGTAGCCCTACAGCACTAAACAGACACAGGTTAACTATAGTCACAGGCTAACCTGCTGGGAACCTGATTAGGGTTCGTCCATTTTATTTCAGATCATCCACCCTTCCTCTCTCCTGACAGCACTTTCTGCTTCAAGCCTTCCACCATGCCTTACCTCATATTCAGCTGTTGACCCAGCTTCTGGTTTCCCATTGGAATTAGAAACCATCAGAAAAGTATCTTCCAGGACACTTACCAGGCTACTCATGGCTCCATCTAAATGAGCAGGCTGAGCCCCCTGCTACAGTGAAAGGGCCTCTGTGCTTCTAGCGGAAGCCAACCTATATGTTGTAGCGTCGACTGGCTGGTATACTCATCAGCGTCCTTGTTACATCCAATGGATCATCTCTTTCCTATGAGCAAACAAACGTACTGTTTACCATAGTTCAAAATCCATCCCTTAACTTCATTTCCACCTCTAGCTCCTCTCCTGTTTCTCTGCTCCCCAAATAATAATGACTATTGGGATTTACCTCTATTTCAGTGTCTTCTCCTTTCCATCGTCTCTTGAGCTCACACCACTCAGACTGTCCTTCCTGTCACACCTTAAAGTTGCTCTTGTCAACATCTTTAGTGCCATCCTTCTTTTCACTCATCCTCTCTTTCCCTCCACCTCCACATATACGTGATACAAAGCTGACTCTCATACCTTATCTCACTTGATCTAGAAGTGTCATTTGACCCTGAGGGTCATGGTTTGATTCCTAAGGTTTGCTGGGGTTTTTGTTTTTGTTGCTTGTTTTTTTTTTTTTTTTTTGTTTTGTTTTGTTTTGTTTTTTTGTTTTTTTGTTTTTTACTGAACCATAGAGGCCAGGATTTGATCTCTAGGTCTCCAGCATTTGGGCTTTGTGATTTTCCTCTGTTCTCATGGATTTAAACACTACATCTGTTCCAATAACGTTCTGATTTGAGCTCAATTCTAGTAACTCATGTAGCCAACATCTTGATACATGTAACTGTCAGTGACTATCTACACCTGAACTTGTAAAAGGTATTTCAGATTTATCTCACCAAAAATAATGAATTCTTAATTTATGAGCCTCAAACTTGCTTGTCCTACGGACAGTTCAATTCCAGTCAATGGTAGCTCCATTCTCTCAGCTGTTCAAGTTGAAACTCTAGAATAATTACTGGATTCTCATCTCCTTTTCTCCACAGGAGGTGATGCCTGCTTCTCTCTCCAATATCCAGACCATGGCCACATCTTGCTAGTTTCACTCCTACTGCCATAGCCCCACCCACCACTCTCTCTTTCATACATCACTATGAAGCTGTCTCACTCACCTATTTCCTTCCAACCTCATTCACAGTCCAATTACCGCTCAGACTGCTCTCCTGAAATGCAAGTCAAATAATGTCATTCCTCTGCTCCAAAGCCTTCATTCATCACATGTCACACAGAGTAAACTCTAATGCCTTTGCCATTAGTAATGGTAGAACATATCTTAAGTAACAACATAATCTTAGGGTTTTTTCCCTATGTGATAGCCTGGCATGGAAAAAAAATGGCATATACTACTTTCATCCATTTGTTCAAATTTTGCCATCTCTCCTCTCTCACACTTAACATCTGCTCTACTTGCAAGTCCTACCAACTGTATCTTCAAAATATCTCACAAATCTGACCACTTCTCACCACCCTCACCTCGTTCTGAGCTGCTAGGGTCCTATCAATACCACTTGAATAGCATCCTTGCTGGTCTCTTGTTTGCACACACTCACATATCTCAGAGTAACCTTAACCAGATTTAAGTAGCAAAATGTAAGTAATCATATCATTTCTGTTTTTAACCCTTCAATAGCTTCCCATCTCAGAGAAAATTCTAGGTTCTTTACTACTTATGTACAAGTCAAAGTGGATATACCCATAAGAAGCATAAATTCATAGGGGTAGTGGGATGAGAAATCGTAAGGAATTTGGCAATGTGGATATAACCATAATAAGCATAATATCAGAGAGGTAATAAGATGAGAAATCTTAAGTACTGAATCTGCGGTGATAAAAGGAGGCAGCTTACTATTTCAAGAAGTGTGGCCATGAACAGAAGTTAAAAAACAGGGTAGCTGATGACAGTGGCTTAGGGCTGATAAGAAATTCATTCACAAGATACAAAGCAGGTGAGCATTCTTCGTGAGAAGGATAAAGTGAGAAGTTGATGATAGAATATAGGGAGTTATTGTTCAACCTGAGGAAACAGAAGACCTTGAAGGCTTGGCTGAAACAGCTTTAGACAGGAGGCAGGGCATGCATTTGAATGAGCCAGAAAGAGAAAAAGAATTGATGGAATGTAGATAATTCGTACAAGAGAAAGATGCCAAAGATAATGAATAGCCGTAATTTTAAATTTTCTCTGATATTGATTGTATTCATTGAACAACACAATGTCTTTAGAATCCATAGCAAACCCTTAACAAGTATTATTACATTAAAACAGAATTCAGTTCTGAACATATTTTTCCTTTATTGAATACATTTTTCAACATTATGACTGTGAAGTGTGTATTTTAATTTAGTATGGGTCTTCAGTATAGTAAGTTCTATCAACATTCCAAAAGAATGATTTTCAAGACCTTGAGGGCCAGTGGATCCATTTTATTGAGAATTACAGAGCCATGTTTAAAATGTTATGCTGAAAAATGAGGAACAAAATGATAAATATTTTCAGTTGCAAAACAGATACTTGAAGCATGCCCAAGTACTAAAGAACCTTTATAACAGTGTCTAACCTACGTAACAGTCAGATGGGCATGCTGCAGACTCCATGCAGAAGGCTAAGTTATGGTGCTTTCCACCATTGTATACATTTCCATGTACTCTTAGTCATACATTATATGACCTATGCGCAAAACTAGCCCATGTCACATAACCAACCATCACAAAACTATAATATCTTTCCTGGTGTTTCAAAGACAATAGGCTGGCCTCCTTTTTTCCACTCTTGTTCATTTGCCATCTGTTTACTACTCAGTAGCCAGGGTGACCCTCAGAGGTTTCAGTAGGTTGTGTCATTTCTCTTCCCCCAAACATACATGTCTTCCATGTCACTGGGAGGACAATCCAATGGAAGTTCAACAAACTAATCAATAACTAATATATAATAATATATAAAAATAAACTAATATATAAAAATCAATAACTAATCGGGAGCCATAACCAGGTGTGTGTTTTCTGCAGGTTGTTCTTCATCAGGTACATGTCCCAAATCCTCAGAAGAAAGTCTTGGCAAGCTGGGTGGTGGTGGTGCACCTCTTTACTCCCTGGGAGGCAGAGGCAGGTGGATCTCTATGAGTTCAAGGCCAGCCTGATCTACAAAGCAAGTTCTAGGACTAGGACAGTCAAAGTTACAAAGAGAGACCCTCTCTTGAAAAAACTAAAAAAAGAGAGAAAGAAAGTCCTGGCAAATCACAGTCGTCATCCAGTCTTTTAGATATCAAAGCCTTTGAAGCTTTTGTTTATTCTCTCTGCGTTTATGTTTAGTTGAGCAGTTATATCACCAGGGTCTGTGAATTATTTTTTCATTGTTTCTTTTGCTTACAGCCCAGCCTCCCTGGGTCTTGGAGCACTTCCGCAAGGATTCACTACTACCTTCCCCAGGATTGGGTTTCTCCTGTAATCCTCATCCCTCCTGGAACCACCCTCCCTGCCTCTACTGCTCTGACTGCAATCATTTCATTTGTCAGGTTCCAACAGCCTTTAGGATAAAGCTCAAACTCCCAAGAAAAAGTAACCCACAAGAAAGAGGCCACCTGGTTTGACCATGCCTGACTTGATCTCATGCTGACGTACTTGATGCCATCTCTGTCGCATCTGAAACTCACTTGTGTAGAGCAAAGCACAATTAATACGCAAGCAAATGCTGTCTGCTTTACCGAGTTCATCCCTCCTTCCTTGACTAACCTCTAATTCTTCAAAGAAGAATCCAGAGTTTGATATGTACTGTAGGGGGCTTTTAGTTGAATCAATAGCAGGTACAGGCTTCCTCTTAACGCCACAGTTCATATTTTAAAATGAACAACGGTTAAGCGATGGTTTTTAAGAAGATAGAAGCGACATCTGAAACATCAAAGCGAAAGGACACGGCCACAAGCTGACCTGCCTATCCACCTGTGAAAGGGAAATGCGGTGGACGTGTTGCATGTCCGGCCCTGATGCGACAGGACAGAGAGTCCTCTTCAGGTCTGTGCCAAGCTGCTGTCTATATGTGAATGATGCAGCCTGACAGTTTACCTAAAATTCTTCTTTAAAACTAAGTAAGCGTGAGTATCCACACTTCTAGAAATAATCCTCTCGAGACTTCAACATTTCCTAATGTTTAATGAAAAGAAACAGAGTAATTTTATTTTTGGCCATTCAAAAGGCACGAGAAGCTTCATAATGTAATGATCAGGACATAGACACTCAAAAAATAAAAATAAAAAAACTGTCTGCTGAGCGGTGCTTGGGTGCTGTATCACATATCACAGTTCTTCTGGAACAATAATTCTGTCCCATTTTCTTTTATAAAAGATTTTATTTTTAAAGGAATGCAGTTTTGAATGGAATCTTCTTCCAAAGTCCTTAATGTAAAGATTCTGTGCTGTAACTCTTAAAGCCATACAAATAAAAATGCTAAGCTGTGGATATAAAAGTAGATGAATGAATATTTTTAGTCAGTATTACTGAAAAAACAAAAATATGACAAAAACATATAATCAATGTGCAATTTTTATTTATCCGTTAAATACTGGAATATATTTCTACTTTAAACTTTAAAACTATTTGTTCATGGGAGAAATACTTATTTTATGCACATGAATGTTTTATCTGTATGTATGTCTGGACACCACTGTGTGTGCCTGGTACTCAAAGAGACCAGAAGAGAGTGTCAGAGCCTGTGGAACTGGAATTATAGATAGTTGTGAGCCTCCATGTGGTGCTGAGAATCAAACCCAGGTCCTCTGGAAGAGCAGCAACTGCACATAACGGCTGAGCCAGCCCCAAGATTTTTATTTCATTTGAAGTGTGTGTTTGTCTATCTATGCATAATCGCAGGTACCCCAGAAGCCCAAAAGATCTGAGGCCAAAAGAAGGCACCAGATCCCCTAGAACTGGAATGATACAAAGTTGTGAGTGAGCTGGTATTTGGAACAGCAAACGTGAAGAAATCTCATCATTTGGTCTGTTCTCAGAAATCCCTCCTCTTTTATATTCCCACTATAGTCAATCCAAAAAGAGGCCCTGGCCTCTGGTGGTCTGAAGAGTCAAAGACAGCTACCTTCCCCCTGGCTTCTATCAATGGCAATCATTACCTCCTCCTTAGCGGAGTGGTGAGTTTTATTTCGACTCACTCTGTTGGCGCTGTGCTATTATCTTGACTCTTTCATAGACTCAGCCAGCTTTTCCTTGAGCTATTCCAGAGGTGTAGGAAACGTGGGCCTCCCCACCTCACCTCCAGGCAGGGAGTCTCTGCAGCAGTGTTTTTTTCTGAGGAGAAAGAGGTCTCTAGGTGGGAAAATGTAAGCAGTTCAGGGCTTGAACTGAAACGTAGGAACCAAGTCTTTCACCTTGTGCAGAATGGTTTCCCTTGGTCCATGCTGGCCCACAGTTGTGATAACAATAGAGAGGGGACTTATAAATGAAGATCACTCAGCGCCTCTCCAGGAACCTGCTGTCACCACTGAACTTACACTTTCATACCCTGAAGCACAACCTGGGCTCTTTGCCACCCAGGAACCTTGGCATTAATTCTTCCTCAAAGCACCCTTCTGGCCTCCTGAGATTCTCAGCCTTCCTAACTTAATATAATTCCTCAGGTTGTGGCGACTGACCCCCCAACCACAAAAACATTTTTGTTGCTACTTCATAACTGTAATTTTGCTACTGTTATGAATCATAGTGTAAATATCTAATATGTAATATATCTGATATACGAACCATGTGTCACCCCGAGGTTGAGAACCACCACCTTATGCCCTGAGACAGAAGACATCACATAGCCAGGTGATTGCAGCTGAACCATGAACTTGGTCTATCGGATGGGAATCTCCTATAAGGTCATTAGAAAGGCAGGACTGGAGGCCTGCCCCAGAAACACTAATGGAACCCTGAATTTTAGTTATATCCCAAGTCATTTGTTTGCAACTGAAGTTTGACCGGGTACTCATGTAGAGAGTCATAGGAAAAAATGCTACAGTGGGAGGGTTCCTAATTCATTAGAGGGGTCTTGCAGAAATCTCTCACCAAAAGATGACATCTAAGTAGAAGACTTAATGAGCAAAGACCAGTTTTCTATAACTGCAACAGGACCAAATGAACACAACAGAATCTGCTGTCCACCCCTGAGCTTCTCCACTTGCCCTCCACCCTCTCTTTGCCCTCTGGAGCCACACCCATGCCCTGGCTCTTGGCTCAGGGTCTGGTACTCTCAGGCATGCCCTGCATGCCAGGGACAGCAGGAAACCCCCTCTGACCTATGGATTCCAACCTTCATTCTTAGAACGGCTTCCACCGCCTTCACCAAACCCCACACGCACCCCAGCGGAGAGCAAAGAAGTCTCTTGGAAGAATTTTTCTACACGTGTGAATGGAATGGAGGGATGACTGATGGCTTGATGGCTTGTATGCTGAACTCTGACTTTCAGGCACTAAATATAGATGGTGCATATGCCGAAGAGCTAAATATAGCCGTGTTGGTATGGAGGGGTGAGGGAAACTCTCCCGGGACAGCCTGGATGGAGGCTGAATGATGTCCCCACAGGTGCCGCAGCTGCAGGTTAATTTCTCTCCCCTACTGGGGAAGCGGTGCACTTCAGTTTCATCCAGGGAAGATTTGCTTGCCAGAGAATTTGCTGGGAGCCATTTTTGTTGTTGTTGTTTATAAAACACGCAAGCACACAGCTCAGGACACCTCCGTCTGCCTTCAGCAGGTTGATCTTCTCCACTGGGTTACAGCTCAGTGCTGTCCTCATTGGGGTGACTTCAGATCTCCTGGTGGGCTGTTTGTGATTCCATCCCACACTGCCCAGATCTTTCTTGTTTTGTTAGACAAGAAGGCTCTAATTTCTGAGGCTAAAGGTCAGGATGAGAATAGATGGCTAGGGCTGCCAAACTGTATGCCCCGAAGCATCTATTTTGGTTAAAGATCCAAACCTACTCTGGGAAAGTCATCTTTGCTCAGGTTAGAGCCAAAAGAGGGAGAAAGGAGAGCCCTTGGCCCCTTGCTTCTCTCTCCCCACAGCACTAGGGCAGCAATCAGACTCTCTTGGAAGAAGGCGGTTGATACTGGGTGGCACCGTTTCAGAATATGAAATGCCTTTCAGCCCTGTATACCTCTTCTGCTGCCCCAAGAAGCTGCTGAGGACAGGGAAGGCATGATAAGCATCCATTTGTCATTTTCCCTTCATTAGCAAGAAGCCTGTTTCTCTCCTGGGGTGAGACAGAGATAGTTCATCTGCATTTTGATTGCTGCCTTTGGAGATGATAACTGAAAATAGGCTCTGCACTCCCTCCATGATCAGTTTCTATTAATTAGGCTTAATTATGTGGCCCAAGCAAGGGAAAAAACTCTCTTTGCCTGTCCGCGCATAAATCATAAACTGACTTATATTACTGTGTTTTCCCTTACTTCTCCCTAGTTTCCCCCCAGTTCTATCACATCACCCAGTGTTGCAAGCCAGGAGCCCATCTGCCTGTCCACCTCCTCTTCCTTGCCCTCCTCTCTCCCTCCTCTTCCCCCCTCCTCCTCCTCCTCCTCCTCCTCCTCCTCCTCCTCCTCCTCCTCCTCCTTCTTCTTCTTCTTCTTCTTCTTCTCTCCCTTCTTCTCCTCTTCCTCCTCCCTTCCGGACCTCCCACTGGTAACTTTGAGAAACTAGCTGGTCTTTTCTCAAAACAAGAAAGAAAAGCAAGAATTTGGCTCACTGATTGTTTGAATGTCATCAGGCCCATCGGTCTGCAAGTGACACTCAGTGTGGCTGTGGCTTGGTTTTTAAAGCTAGGAGAAAACTTTCCCCAGGGTCTTAATTGCTCTAGTCCCCAGCATCCCTTATAGTCATAATTATTGTCACAGCGGTATGCAAAATCACAACAATTCTCTGCTACTCCATGACAGAGACTGACGACATTAATATAAACACTCAGGAGGTGGAGACAATATGTTGGTGTGAGTACGGTTTAGGATCTTCATGATGGAGACTGGATATGTTAGATGCATTAGCATAAGCATGGCTCAGGGATGCTCAGAGGAAAAAGCTTTGCTATTTTGTGACCCATTGGCTTTGCACTGATTCATCTGACTGGAGTCTACATGCCCTTGAATGTCCTCCAAGACATATAGCGTAATCTCTCTGGAGGCTGCAATGCTTACAGAGAAGCGAGCAGACGGCAGCATCTCTCTAAGCAGCCAGTCTGCAAAGCCCAACTTGTAGCACTATCCATTACTCCTGGGGTAAGGATGGTGGTCCTGGATTTCACAAATACAGATTCCCCTTGTGCACACAGTCAGCAGGCTTTTCACTGTAACAACCTCCCCGTCCCCAAGGCCAAAGGCATTTTGTCTTCTGGCTCATGAGGGCCTATTCAGTGACAGAGTGGGCACTGGCCAAGGAGCTTTTCTGGGACTGGTTGCCATAGGCTGTGTACCCTGACTGCTATGATTTACCTCTTAATTTTACAACCAGGCAGTGTTGGAGCACGTCTTTAATCCCTGCACTCAGGAAGGAGAGTTTGAGGCCAGCATAGTTCCAGGACACACTACAGGGCAGAGTGATATGTTCACCTTTAATCCCAGAGGTAGGCAGATCTCTGTGAGATGGAGGCCAGGTTGGTCTACAAAGTAAATTCCAGGGCAGCCAGGGCTCAGAGAAGCCTGGTCTCAAAAAATAAAAATAAAATTAGATTGATGGCAAAACAGATGGCTTTTGTCTATAAAATGCCTATTTTATCTGGTACGGATCTAATTTCATCTTGTGAAAATAAAAACGCAGTCTCAAACATTGTATTTTATTCCACTATAGAGTTGTGTGTGTGTTCTTCATAATTCTTCTTTGAACTCATTTGGGGTCCTACTCATTTTCTAATTATTTAATAGGTTATGTAAAAATCTCTGTCACTGTAGTCATGATACGTTTGTACCTGAGTTGTGATTTTATCTTGTTAAAGATTGTGTTTTAGCACAAACTTTCCACTTAGTACTGGCAGCGGTTATATTACATCAATAGTTATTTGCAATAACAACTTCAGTTCCATTTTCTTAAAAGAAAGTTTCAGAAAAAAAGATAAGAGGTAATTTCCCGGATGAGGCAGTGAGTGGCAAAGTCAAGCCACTTGCCCAATACCAAGCAAGCCAGGGCCATGCGAATTGCTGTAGCCAAGGCTGTGATTTTTTTAAGAGGCTTTTTCTGCCATCTAATAAAGTGAACAGCTATACTGATTTGGGTAAACGCTGAGGTGTAAGGATAGCCTTTGCCCTACTGAAAACGCCATCAGATTTGCGGAGACCGAAGGAAATCATCTACACCTTGTTCCTCTAAAAAAAAAAAAAAGTGGCTACAGGAAAAGGAGGCAATAGGTGTGCGGATTTACAGAAAAAAAGACAAACACACAGCTTTGCATTTCCCTCAAGGCTCTCAGGTACCTGCTGTTCAACTACGGCTTTATTATTCCGGCCTTGTCCTATTTCTTGTCATGCTCTAAGCCCTAGAGGGCAGCAGCGCGCCCTGAAGGAACTAGCCCAGTTCCTCCTGCAGCGAAGCCAGCAAGGCACCCCCACCCCCCATCCCCATGCCTGAGCATTGCGGGATTAGGGCTTCGGGCTCCATCACTGTCTCGGTGGGGCCTGTTGCAGGCTCCCCCAGAGCCCTGCGGCGTTGCAGCGCTGCGGCTCGGTGTGCGCCGTGCCTCCACCCCCGCAGCTCTGCGCAGCCTCTGCGCCGCAGCCCGCGGTTTACATAAGCCTGGCACACACAGCGGTGAGCTCACCTTCTCCCGGAGCAGAATGCAGACTCCCTGAGAGACAGGAGAAGCCGAACCGCTGCTGGATCGCTCCCCCACACACCCCCTCGGGAACTGTCAAATGGTCATACCCTGAAATGGCGAAACCGGAGCAGGAAATACCCGGTGACAGGCCAGAGAACATCTCACCATGGACAGCGAACTCTTCTTCCTAAGAAAACAGCCACACTTGGCATGGCGATGTGTTCTTTGACCTCTGCTAATGCAACTTCCTCCAGCCCGCAGCGACTGGCAGGGTTAAAGCCAGCCAAGGGCATCAAACCCAGTTTGCCAAGAAAAATGAAGGACAAACTGGTTTGTGCTGGGTCCTCTTAATTACATCACTTCACTTTCTGACTGACCTTGTAGGTAAATTTCTCTACCCTTTTCCCCTGGCTTTTCTAGAATGTTCAGTGGAAACATGCAGAGTTTTCCCTGGGGCAATAGGACAGTCCCAATTTCACGCTGACAAAAATAAGTGGCACTGTCTATTTCCTCTCATCTCCAGCCAGTCTCAGCTGCTTTCTCCCACTCCTAGGAGACTTGGAATCTCACCCCAAGAAGCCCAGGCCAGAAGGTCCTCTGCCTTTCACCTCCATTCTTGCCCTACAGCACGAAGGACATAGACCAAACTGCAGGTGTGTGACCGATCCCCTCCGAGGAGGAGAAAGAAACTCAGTCTAATCATTACCAACATGCCCAGGCAGGGAGTGCCCTAAAAATGCTGTTTCCAGGCCCATGAAATTGCTCAGCAGTAAACTTGCCTGACAACCTGAGTGCTGTTCCGGGGGCCACATGGCGAGAACTGACTCCCATGAGTTGTTCTCTGACTCTGCATCTATGCTGTGACACACACACACACACACACATTGGTTAAAATTTTTAAATGACGTGTTTCACTGCTAAATACCAGCATGCTATTTGCTATTCTCAGGCTTTCTGTTCCAGCAAGGTCAAATGGGGAGAACTTGGACCTTGTACAGAAAATCAGGGCTGTCCAGTTTACCCTGGATTAAGGAGAGGACATGGGACCTTTAGCCTGTAATGTCATGGACAAACTGGGACAAGCTGGGCGCCCAAGACGGGATAGGATGCTAAAGAGAATCCCCACCCCCTACCCCTAGAAACTTGAACTCTGGATTGAAAAGACTTTTTTTTTTTTCTTTCCCAAAATACGAGAGTATTTTCTCTCTGAGGAATTACTGTAAGACAGAAGACAGTGCTCTGTGAGCGTTTTAGAAACTTGACCAGCAGAACTTGAAGAGGGCTGTAAACAGGGCCAGATTCTAGAAGTAGGTGTCAAGACATCTAATGGACTAATAAAGTTCAGGACATTTAATCTTCAGCTATGCCTTGTTTATGCCAGTTGGAGTGGCGCAAGCATAAAAAAGAACTCCAAATCCAGGATGGCATCCCCAGATATGCCTCTGGCTGCCGCTACCCCCACCTGAGACTAAGAATAGTAACAACCATCCTCTGTGTGGCATTTACTGGGCATCATCAGATGCCGTCTCTTAGAAGAGCCAGATGTACCATCACGGAACAAGCCCTGGCCCACAGTCAGACACCTGAGTCCTATTTTCAGGCTGGCCTCTCTGTCTGGGGACCTTAGTCAAGCTCTTAACCTTCTCAAATGAACTATAAAACGTGGGCAATGTTTTCCATACTCTCTTCTCCACTCATTGTGAGGACTAAATGAAATAAAAGTGACTTCTGATAATTTGCAATACCATACATCTTCACCAGTAATTTCCAGGGTGTCTTGAAGTCCTAGTTTTCCTGGATATCTTGGGGTTTGTCCCTGTTTGGGGAGTCATAGATCCACTGTAGGTAAATCCTTGATTATTTTAAGCATTTTCTTTTTTTGTACATCTTCATCTTCTTAAATAGGAAACTTTGTACTGGCATTAAATATTTTCCTATGCTTCTGTGGATTGAATTCACACACCTTAATCAATGTTCAGCTAGATCTTCAAGTATCCAAATGAGAGGTAAGGTGTGGCCAGTCATAACCAGAAGCTTTAAGAAGCAAGGACACCTGTAGAGATCAAATGACCTCGGTAGATTTTTCAGGGCCTTCCATCCCTAAAAGGATCAGCATTCAAAGGTTGAAAGAGGAATGTAAAGGATTTTCAGGCTGCCTCTTCGATTTAGAGTGTGGATGGACTCTCTAAACAGGCCCATCAGCATCAAGCAGGATTGGGTGGAGTGTATGGATGGAATGGTAACTATTCTGTCCAGTTCAAGAGGCTGTCAGGATTAAAGGAGATAGTGCAATGGTTCCGGAGTCATCGTAAGTGACTCAGCAGAATCCCACTTATGTGCGAAACCTTCCAAGGAGGCTAGAGAGATGGCTCAGTGGTTAAGCGCACATGGGCTAGCTGCAGATGTATAGGGACCAGAGTTTGAATCCCAGTGCCTATGTACCAAGCCAGACATTTCATACCCCAGCTTAGAAGGTAGTGGGAGCAGAGGCAGGAGGATCCTGGTTCCTAACGGCTTCCACTCTAGCTGAGAAAACCAGGTCGCCGGCTCTTAAGAGACCTGACTTCAAAGATAGGCAAAGGGTGATAGAGGAGGCCCCCCAGTGCCTTCCTCTGGCCTCTGCAGGTGTGCTCACAGGCATATAAACCAATATTTTTAAATATCAAGGTAAATAGTTTTGTGGAAATATATAACAAATTTACAACTACTGTTGATGTATAAATCAGTGTCCTTAATCACATTCAAATATTATGCTAACACCACCACCATCTTTCCACTTAACATTTTCATGATGTGGTACATCCTGTCTGGATTATTATGCTGGGCATAATGTTTTAATTGTCTTCCCAGTCTCTGATTCCTAAGTACTTGGGTTATTTTCACTTTGGGATTTTTATAGATATACTAGGGTGAGCATCAGTTCAAATTCTTTTTGTTTTTAATCCCCTTTTCCATGTGCATTTCCCAGATGATATGGCAATTGTATGTCTAGCTCTTTGTGAAAATGCCAAACTGTTTCCCATGGGAGTCAAATCATTTTACATTCCCACCAGGATTGGGAGCTTTCCATTTTCTCCGCTCCCTCACCAGCACCTATTATTTTCTCGTTTAGCTTTGTATGGTGACAAATGGTATACAGAATTTAGAGGCAAACTAACACATTTAATCAGGCAAGCGGGTGAAAGTCATCAATCAATAGATTCTCGAAAATTGAGTCAATTATACACTGGGTACTTCATTCAGAAAATGCATCTGAGGAAGTCACATTGCATATCTATGCAGCTCAGGTAAGAGAGAGTCGGAGGTGAGGATGAGTGTGAAATTTGATAGGAAAGTTTGACCCAACTAATTGTGCGGCAGAAAGACCTTTGCCGAGTAACTATGACTGTTGAGCCAGCACTCAAGATTCCTGGGATCTAAACCTGTGTCTATGGGTTTCATTGCTATGAAAAAGCACCATGCCCAAAGCAACCCTTTTAAAAGAAAACATTTAATTTGGGCTGGCTTACAGTTTCAGAGGTTTAGTTCATTATCATGGTGGGAAGCACGGCAGCGTGCAGGCAGACATGGTGCTGGAGGAGCTGAGAGTTCTACATCTAGATCCTTAGGCAGCAGAAAAGGACTGTGTGTGCCTCAAAATTGTAGCTTGAGCACTTAAGACCCCAAAGCCCCACCTCCTCGGTGACACACTTCCTCTAACAAGGCCACACCTCCTCCAGTAAGGCCACACCTCCTCCAGTAAGGCCA